TATCACTCAATTAAAGGGACCCTCCCACCTTAACTTTAGATTTGAGTTGAGATAGCCAAAATGGGGTCCCTGGCTCACAATTACCGGTTTCGGCACTCACAACATCGAGAAATGCCTTAAATCGGAAATATTGAATTTCAAAATTGCAGCATTTTGATTCAGAGGGGCTAATGCATAGGAATACCCCTCTGAATGTGTGACGTCAGCGAAGATATCTAACGATTTTTAAATGTTTGACTAAAACGTTTTGTAGCACGCGGTGGTATATGCTGCTTTGCGCGCAACAAATGCCGCACTTTCAAATTAAGTCGCTAGGAACAGCGGGGATCCCAAAAAGTAAACAAAAGGAAAAGTCTAATATCTTGAAAACTGGTGAATATTTTTCGATGAAATTTGGTAGATACTCGTTTTTGCTCTTTCTGAACCGAGCGACATCACTTTCATGCCAATTTATTAACTTTTTTGAAGGTGGGAGGGTCCCTTTAAGCGTGTCGATTGTGAGCATTGGGACAAAGCTATAATTTGTCAACTCAGCCCGTGTGATGTGGCACAGCCTACCACTCCAGGCAAATAATTGCCTGTGAAAAATGGAACATCATTCTGTAGTCGACTATTCAATGTGCATGGTGCAGTTTCGCTTAACCCTCGCGGGCCCGGGGGGGGCGTTTTTCGCCCCCCCCCCCCCTGGCGAATATTTGCGATAGCTCCCGAACGCTTAGGGATAGAAAAGCGAAACTTTCAGTACCTTTTCTCCCATCAATTTGACATCCGCTGAAGTAAAAAATTTGGACCTAGCCCCCTTGATGACGTCACAACGTCCATTTTTCTAGACCCCTGCACGGCAAACTTCGGCGTCACAGACGCAAATTTCAAATAGCTGCTAAAAATAGAGTTATAGAGATAAAGACAAATTACTAGCACGGTTGTGTAGCGTTTGACCTAGAGAAAAATAGAAAAATAGTTTTGGTGACCTGAGGTGACCTGAGTCGCAAATAACTTCGACAAAAATGGTCCTAGAGCTACGGCAGTGGTACCATCGCAATCGTCTTGTCAAGCCGCGTTGAATGATATATATTTTGTTCGGAAAAGAACAAGTTTTATGTTGACCTCATTTGACCTCGAATGACCTCTGGTTGACCTTGACACATGAAAGGTCGATTATGATGGATTTGTACCCGCTGATCACGAATCTGGCATCTATTTTCCTCTACGCCTTCATTTAGAGCTTCCGGATGGAAAAATTGTCTTATTTATTATTACTAACTTGAATCAGTGAAATAGCCTCTAGCAGGGATACTCTTCTGTGACCTTGACCTTTTAGCAGCCTTGTATCGTAAGATGAACCACAAATAGGGAACTGATAAGCCTCAAAACATTTCAAAACATCTTGGAAGTTAGCACGCAAGATGTGTGAAAAAGTGCCAAGTTTGAGGTCAACTTTGAGCGTGACCTTGACCTTGACCTTTAATTTTGAGCACATTTTCGGAATCCATAGATTCTCTTCTTTCGTTTGACACCCAATTTTGCCGGTTTGATGCAGCCTGCCGTCCTCTACAAGGCTTAATTTGAGATCACTACACCTGTGCCGGTTTTTGCCTTTGACCTTGACCTCTGACCTTGAAAATTGACCTGAGGTCAAAAAGTTTAAGTGCTTTAGAATCGTCTTGTAAGGACCTTTCGTTTGGTATTGCTTTTGTTTCCGTAGCTCCCTTGTTTACGGAGTTAGACAGGGGGGGGGCGAAAAACGCCCCCCCCCCCGGGCTGCGGTGGTTGGGATTACCCCCCAGGCCCGGCCGGGTTAACCCTAGAACGCCTAGGGGGGGGGGTTGTATCAACCCCCCCTGAGGTTTTTTCGAAGTGCACGCTAAACGGCTTGTCGTAGCGGGCTGAAATTTTCAATACCCTCTGGAGCAACCTTTGCGCATCTTTTGCCGAAAAAAAAATTGATCGGGTCATGTCAGGTCACGGAGTTATGACGTCATAAGAGGTACAGCCTCCGGCCGACAGTTACCAAACGTGTGCGCCGAATCCCTAGGTTTTCTGCCGGTGATACCCACATTGTTTGATGGATCATGATGAAACTTCCCATGCATGTTGGGGCAAGCATTGGCTATCGTGTGGTGCAAGAAAATTGACCGGGTCAGGTCAGGTCACGGAGCTATGACGTCACAAGAGGAACAGCGTCCGGTACTATTTTTGAAAAGCGCCCGAACCACTATTTTGCTAATTCTTGTCACCTCAATGGGAATATGCAGCAATATTAGCTTCTACAGGGAGCAAATGGACCTCCCAAATCCAAAAATACAATCAGATTTCAAAAATTTAAATTTTGATTTTTCGAATTTCTGCCGCCGACTGTGACCTTGCCGACTTCCGGCGCTCCCGACGCGCCATTTTTAGAGCTAGGGAAACGAAATACATACCAAACGATAGAGAATTGATCAAGGAACACGATAGTGAAGGTTTCAAGTCGATATCTCCCACCGTTTTGCCGCAATCGCCGCGGAAAGTTGAAAAAGTTTGATTTTTTCGGAAAATTTGACCTTTGACCGGTCATAAGTAGGTCAAATGTTGACCTAGGACCAAAAAATATACCACCAATCGCGAGATCTCGTTGAGAGCAATCCGTTGGTTTTTTTCCGCTAAGCTCTACGACCTTCCGTTTCGAAACGCCAGGGGGGGGGGTCGTAACAACCCCCCCCCCTGGTCGTTCGTGTTATGAGAAATGGCCTGGTCGTGCGAGGGTTAATATTGGCGTTCCGAAGTCGTATGACCCCAGAGCGGCAACCATATGGTTTCGCCGGCAATAACCGCTGGCGGAAAGGGCGACACGGTTCAGTATCCACAACACAGAATGTTGCGTGAGAGAGGTCATTGCGGAGCGGCCCGCCTCAGTACCCGGGCGAGGCTTGGGGTCATGCGCTTCGGGGAAGGCATGCACGCGACCCCAACGGAATGACTGAACCGGCCCTGTCCTTGTGACTCGATTACCTAACCTAATGATCCCGAATCCCTACTCTAGCGGAACGGACACACTGCTATTCGCCATTAGCAGGCGTTACCAAAAGTTCCGACCAGTGCACAGTGGGGATTTTTCCGATCTAGCACGTCTTTATTCGTAGAGGGCAAACCATAGGTAGCATTGTAGCCAGATTGTGCACAGATGTTGGCTGGTGTGTTCTGGTAAGAATTTTACCTGTAAATGTGCATAATCAACATAGTATAGGGGGTTCAATTGGACCCCTGGCTCAGCCGTTTGGCCCCTGATCAAGCTAGAGCTTCGCGGAAAAATCAAGCGTGCTGCCTATGACGAAATGAGGCCGAATATATTCAATTTTAAAGTCTAAGGTCATTAGTTGACTTTCCAAGTCAGTTTAATGACCCAACTAAAGTTGGGAAATCGAGACCTCTTGAAACTTCGCAAAGTTAGGGTGCTACGGGGTATTTTGGGGTGCTGATCACGAATTTCATGTTAGTTTTGATCACAGACGATGTCTTTATGCATTTAGGCCTGGTCGGGTCAGGTCAGGTTAGATCAACTAGTAGGCGTCCTGCCGGCCATCCATAGTAGGTGTCACCTACTACTGATAGCTTCGTAACATGGTACGAAGGCACCAGAACTACTTCGTAAATATTCAAATGGCTGCTAAATTCGAAATCAGCACCAAAAACTACCCTAGAAGCAAGTAAAACTCGAACAAGTGAACCAAGGTCATCAAAAGGTCAATGACCTTGACTTGACCTTCACGTGACCTTGACACCCATCATAATGCATGGCACCAACATCATTTCACATATTTGAACGTTTAAAACCACAAATAGACTGGAAACCGCGGATAATGTGAGCTGGCATACGCCGAATCGCGATTCCGGCCAAACATGGTCTCGAGAAATATGTCACAGGTCAAAGGTCAGTTGGGTCATGAAGGGATTTGGTGCAGTCGTCTGCTGTTTACTTCACGTGCCAGCCCATCTGGCAGCCCTGCTGTTGACCTCAGCGCATGTTCGTAAGGTCGCCGCTAGGTGGCTCCCGAGTGGCGCCACCTCCCACCCGCCATGTTCGGCAATACACTCCTCACTGAGACGCCGGCGTGTTCGCAACATGGCGCAGCCTGCAGGGTCGCCGACCGGGGACCGCCCTCCAATGGCTTGGCTCGGGAGAGCCACTCAGCCTGAGCGTCTGGACTTCGAGCAAGATCGCCTGGTTTCCTTCCGCGCCTGGAAATTGAGGTGGGACGATTTCTTTTTGTTGTCTGGACTTGATCAGTGCGACAAAAATGTCCAAATGGCTGCACTTCGCTCTTGTCTCAGTGACGACGTCATTCAGATCGTGAGTCAGTTCGGCTTGACTGAGGCCGAACGTAACAACATTCATCGTGTACTGAAACTTTTGGAGGAGTATGCCAAGGGGCAGGTTAACGAAGTTTTGGAGCGAAGGAGATTTAATCAAAGAGTGCAGCAGCCGGGTGAACTGTTTGATGATTTTCTCACGAGTCTGAAGGACCTGGCAAGCAGTTGTGGATTTTGTGATGACTGTCGGGATTCGCTGATTCGTGACCGTGTTGTAGTAGGACTGCGAGACGCGGCCACCATCCAGAGGCTGTGCGCCGTCCCGAAGCTGACGCTGCAAGATGCCGTCACCACCTGCAGAGCGGAGGAAGCCGCGGTGAGAGATGCTTCAGAGATTGTTGGAAGCCAGGTTAGTGCCTTCCAGGTACGTGACTCTGGCGAAGGCAAGTGTGATCGGTGTGGTCGTCCCAACCACAGGAAGGGCTCAAAATGTCCAGCTCAGGGCCAGACATGCAGAGCTTGTGGGAGTAAGAACCACTTCGCTGTCACATGTATCAGACCTACGCCGCACAGGGCTAAGCCAGGCAAGAAAACCAATGTCATGTCCACAGTCATATCCAGCAACAGCACCCGTGGGCACGCACCCCGCATAGATGTCCTAGTGGAGGGTCCAAAGTTCGCTGTGTTAAACTCCCTGCCCGACACGGGAGCAGATATAACGGTTGCTGGGACAGCACTTCTGGGGGAGATCGGCGCTAAGGTGTCTGATTTGAAGGCGCCACAGGACCACCCGAAGTTAGCTAACGGTCAGCCAGCACAATCTATCGGCTCGTTGCCGATCAGGGTCACTCTTGATGGAGTAGCAGTTGATGATGATGTCCACATTGTTGATGGTGTGTGTGGATTGCTGCTCTCCTGGCGTGTGGTGAAGGATCTTGGCATCGTGCCGAAGTCCTACCCCAGGCCACAGAGATCTGCCATGCCGTCTGTCAAGCCACCGGTGCCCCCCAAACCTGTCGTGCCTGCCGTGCGGACGGGGCGAGCGCCCCCTGGTGGGGGATCTGACAGTGCCGTACCTCCAGCCAGGTGTGCGCTCGGAGGTGACCCGCAGTATGACGTCACCAGCGCAGCCTCCGACACGACGCAGAGCAGCAGCAACCTGCCAGCTGAGGGGACACCTGCAGTCGGAGCTCCACAACCGCGTCCGGACGCCTTCATGCAGTCTGCTGCGGCTGAGCGCCAGCGTCTGGTCGACGAGTTTCCTGAGGTATTCGACGGGAAGGTCAAGCCGCTCCCAGGTGAGAAGTTTCACATCTCTCTGACCGACGACGCTAAGCCGTTTTGCGTATCGGCGCCCAGGAGGGTCCCCTTGCCGCTCAAAGACAAATTGAAGGCCGAGCTAGATAAACTCGAGAGTAACGGCGTAATTCAGAAAGTGACTGAGCCCACTGAATGGTGCGCGCCCATAGTTGTAACGCCCAAGAAAAACACTGAAGATGTCAGGATGTGCGTGGATCTCTCATTCTTGAACAGATATGTCCGTCGCGAGAGATATCAGCTGTCCACGCCCAGTGTCAGAAAAGTGGTTTGGGGATCTAAGTTCGCAGACCAAAATTTTGAAAAGGTCGCAGAACAAAGTTGGAACTCAACTATGGTTCCAAATTTTTAATGCAGCTACCGCATTATATCAGTTTCTTTTTAGCATAATGGGCAGACATTGTTGAAATGCAGCATATATCAAAGTGAAACACTTGCACATGACCAACATGCAATGGTAATCATTAAGCAGGCATCTCACGAGATGCCAGATCTGTCTACAATAGCAAGGTAGGTTGTAGGTTTGTAGGTTGTAGGTTTGTAGGTTGTAGGTTTGTAGATTGTAGGTTTGTAGGTTGTAGGTTGTATTGTAGGTGTTAGGCTTGTAGGTTGTAGGTTAGTAGGCAAGGTTAGATCAGGTTAGATTATGTTTCAAATCTGGCATCTCGTGAGACGCCTGCTTAATGAATACCTACCCATGCAATCTCGTATCTACTTAATAAGCAGGTAGGCTACATTGCCATTGCTCAAGTATAATGATGCATACCTATATAAATATTAATACTCACATTTGCCTAATTTAAACAAGGGAAATCCAAGAACATATCATAACTAAATGCAAGAAAACAATCTGAACCCACCAGAAGGCTACTAGTGTGAAAGCAGCTACCCTTGAATATCAGTTTCTTAGCCTAGGTAGAAGTGAAGGTATAATCAAGAAGGAGAGAAGTTAAGACAAAACACATGGTTTATGTTAAGTATTACCATTACCTGAGCTTGTTACAAAAATTGACATGAACAATCCCACCTCAGATTCCTTGAACGAAGATGGTCGAAGTCGAATGAGTCTCAGTATCTCAGCCTTTAAACAAAAATCATATCCCTCGCCCATGTAGGGGGGGGTTGGTGCAACCCCCCCCTGAGGTTTTTCGGAAATAGTGCAAAAACGGCGGCGCGCAGCGCCGCCAAATTTTGGGTACCTTATGGGGCAAACCTTGCGCATCTTTTGATAAAAAAATTTGACCGGGTCATGTCAGGTCACGGAGTTATGACGTCACAAAGGGAACAGCCTCCGGCCGGATTTTCACAAACTGAGTGCCAACGCCCGAGGTTTCCTGCCGGTGGTACGGACATCGGTTGATGGATCGTGATGAAACTTCCCATGCATGTTGGGGCAAGTATTGGCTATCATATGGTATAAGAAACTTGACCGGGTCAGGTCAGGTCACGGAGCTATGACGTCACAAGAGGAACAGCGTCCGGTACTATTTTTGAAAAGCGCCCGAACCACTATTTTGCTAATTCTTGTCACCTCAATGGGAATATGCAGCAATATTAGCTTCTATAGGGAGCAAATGGACATCCCAAATCCAAAAATACAATCAGATTTCAAAAATTTAAATTTTGATTTTTCGAATTTCTGCCGCCGACTGTGACCTTGCCGACTTCCGGCGCTCCCAACGCGCCATTTTTAGAGCTAGGGAAACGAAATACATACCAAACGATAGAGAATTGATCAAGGAACACGATAGTGAAGGTTTTAAGTCGATATCTCCCACCGTTTTGCCGCAATCGCCGCGGAAAATTTAAAAAAAGTATATTTTTCCGAAAATTTGACCTTTGACCGGTCAAAAGTAGGTCAAATGTTGACCTAGGACCAAAAAATATACCACCAATCGCGAGATCTCGGCGAGAGCAATCCGTTGGTCTTTTCCGCTAAGCTCTACGACGCTCCGTTTTCAAACGCCAAGGGGGGGGTCGCACCAACCCCCCCCTGCATGGGCGAAGGTGGCAGATCGCCGTTTACGGGCGAGGGATATTGTTTAGTATGAAAAAACGAGAAAAACTGCACATAAACATTTAACTATTAAATTACCCCACGAAATTATACTTCTTTACAATAACTCACGCAAATTTCTAGACTAACCCGGCGCAGTCGCGTAAAAGCGCGCGAGATGCGCCAGACAGCGCTGCCTAGTCTGAGAATGTATTTATTTTTTAAAAAGTATTTGTTGCTAGCTAAGTTCATTGCCGAATGACAAAAACGATTTTGATATTCAATTTATTTTAATACAAAATTTAATGAATAATATGCAGCACAAAATAATGCCTTCGGTCGATTTATTACAAGTTAAGATATCTTACTGCCATGAGTTCGAGAAAAATAAAAAAGTCATTTTTTTGTGTTATTCAGATGGGAAAAGGGCATCAAAAAGACAATAACTGTTTATTTTGTTCATTTCAATATCATTCACAAAAATTTTGCCATAAATTCGTCCAAGTTCTCTTATGCCGGCACCAAAAAGGTGATACCTCAAAAGACGCTGTCACTTATTATCCCCATACGCATTTTTTTGCTCATTTTTACGAAACAAAACTATTCTATAACCTTTTCCAATCAACTTCCATTCTAGCCATACCTTGTTTTGCAATGAATGATGTCTAGGTGTCTTAAACGATCCAAGTGAAGCTGACCTTAGCAGGCACGGAACGACCCCGCAGACTATCGTAAAATATGGGCATCACACGTTATAAAATTGCTAAATTTTGACATTTTTGAAAAGAAAAATCTTTTTTACATCTACTGATATCATTTTTTCATACTTTACTGCAATTGGGAACTTTTACCAGGGGATAGTCTGCCACCACGGAAACACCAAATATGTTCTGCGAGAACTCAGAAAAAGTTTGCGCCCGGTTGCGTTATGAAGGGAGCCGGGCGGGGAGCGAGCTTGTTGGTGCGGCGATGGCAGTGTTTTAGACGTCAAAAGGCCAAGGCTTATGACTCGTCTCCCATGACTCGCGTGTTATTTTTGTGATTTGTTTGTTACCTTCGTTTGATTTGTGTGAGAATGTGATTTTAACCCTCGCCGGCCGAGGGGGGGGGGGGGGGGCGGGTGCCGCCCCCCCATAGGGTTTTTTCGCGATAGCTCCGAACACGCTGGCGATAGAGAGCTGAAACTTGGCATACCTGACCTTTGATCCAAGCCAGATCTTTTGACACCAACCGCATTTTTGGGTCAGGTCAGGTCACTGAGCTATGACGTCATAAGTGAACCTCTGCACGGTCTTCAGATGTCGCAACTTCGCAACGCCCTCACTGCCAGAGGAGATGTCACAGGGAAATGAAACTTGCAGGATCTAGTATCCATTATGAGTCCCACAACTTGTATATCTCGGATTTTTCCTAAAGGTCACATGAGGTCAGGTCATTTTCGTGACCTCACCATTATAAATCAATGGGGAAAAATGAAAACTGCTATTCTGGCGCCGGGAACGATCTCCAACTATCTCAAGCACACTGAATCGTGATTTGATGCACTCCTTGCAAGGTTAGATGCGTCACTTTTGCAATGTTGACCTTGCGTGACGTCATTTATGACGTCATCAAGGTCATATTAGTTTTTCGTCAATAACTCTTGATCAAATTGAGCTAGCGAGTCGGGAAAGCCACCAATGGACTCAGGAAGACCTGCCGAATCGAATGATATGCGACATGACCTCTTTCGACCAACTTCGTGACCTGGGGGTGCTGACCTGACCTTGACCTGAGGTCAACACCCCAAGTTGACCTGACCCGGACAAAAAGTATACCATTCGACGCGCCTGAGCGAGACGAACACGATGCTGCCAAAATCGGCGCTCTGCGGCCGTTTTTTGCGAAGTTATTCACCAAAAACTGAACCGCACCTTGGGCACTTGACCTGACCTCAGAGGTCACCGGTTGACCTAGGACCTTAAAATCGGGTACCAATCTCTGCGTCTCGTAACGGCGCACACGCTCGTTTTTTTTCCGCGACGCGCTAGCTCCACCAGGGGCGAAACGGCGAGGGGGGGGGTCGTACCCGCCCCCCCCCCCCTCGGCCGGCGCGTATGTAGAAAACCAATAGGTCCGGCGAGGGTTAAAGGTAGGATCCAGGCCATCGGTAGGATAGGTTGTGCTGATATATGTATTATGGGTAATATGCTTATCCAGTACCCATAATTTTCTGATAGCATTTAGGTACTACTCACTAGCTTGGTATATGTGTCATTTCTCAGAACAGTGTATACATGTAAATTAATCAAGCTGAGCTTTTCAGGTTTATCTCACCTGACTACGTAAAGTTTGCATATCCATTTGGGGCATTGCCCATTTACTACTCACTAGCTTGGTAGTGTTGTTTCTCAGACCAGTGTACGTGTAAATTAATCAAGCTTTTCAGTTTTATCTCACCCGAATACGTTATTAACTTGAACTGCTGTTGCCTGTCACTTGTCAGTTAATTTTTTTAAAGCATTCACTACTTTGTAGGCACTGCATGCTAATATGGATATGAAATCGAGCTTTTCAGGTTTATCTCACCTGATTACGTTAACCCTCGCCGGACCTATTGGTTTTCTACATACGCGCCGGCCGAGGGGGGGGGGGGCGGGTACGACCCCCCCCTCGCCGTTTCGCCCCTGGTGGAGCTAGCGCGTCGCGGAAAAAAAACGAGCGTGTGCGCCGTTACGAGACGCAGAGATTGGTACCCGATTTTAAGGTCCTAGGTCAACCGGTGACCTCTGAGGTCAGGTCAAGTGCCCCAAGGTACTGTTCAGTTTTTGGTGAATAACTTCGCAAAAAACGGCCGCAGAGCGCCGATTTTGGCAGCATCGTGTTCGTCTCGCTCAGGCGCGTCGAATGATATACTTTTTGTCCGGGTCAGGTCAACTTTTGGGTGTTGACCTCAGGTCAAGGTCAGGTCAGCACCCCCAGGTCACGAAGTTGGTCGAAAGAGGTCATGTCGCATATCATTCGATTCGGCAGGTCTTCCTGAGTCCATTGGTGGCTTTCCCGACTCGCTAGCTCAATTTGATCAAGAGTTATTGACGAAAAACTAATATGACCTTGATGACGTCATAAATGACGTCACGCAAGGTCAACATTGCAAAAGTGACGCATCTAACCTTGCAAGGAGTGCATCAAATCACGATTCTGTGTGCTTGAGATAGTTGGAGATCGTTCCCGGCGCCAGAATAGCAGTTTTCATTTTTCTCCATTGACTTATAATGGTGAGGTCACGAAAATGACCTGACCTCATATGACCTTTAGGAAAAATCCGAGATATACAAGTTGTGGGACTCATAATGGATACTAGATCCTGCAAGTTTCATTTCCCTGTGACATCTCCTCTGGCAGTGAGGGCGTTGCGAAGTTGCGACATCTGAAGACCGTGTAGAGGTTCACTTATGACGTCATAGGTCAGTGACCTGACCTGACCCAAAAATGCGGTTGGTGTCAAAAGATCCGGCTTGGATCAAAGGTCAGGTATGCCAAGTTTCAGCTTTCTATCGCCAGCGTGTTCGGAGCTATCGCGAAAAAACCCTATGGGGGGCGGCACCCGCCCCCCCCCCCCCTCGGCCGGCGAGGGTTAAGTTTGCATATCCATTGGGGCATTGCCCATTTCCAGCTCCTGCATGATGTGTAGTCCTTCATTCATATCATACGTGTTGAACCAGATGTTAAAAGAGTCACAAAATTTTCAACATTTGTATTATAAAATACAGGATTAATTGTTATTGCACACACTGTGTGATCACAATTCACAGATCACCTGTTCATAACACATCACAGTTGATGGGCTTCAGGCTGCCAATCAAATACCAGTTATATCTATCAATCTAATACCAGTGAAAGTTTTGCCAACAGCTGTCAGCTGGTGAACCAAGAGTAGCAGGCGGTGCTGGTTCTTGGGAGTAGGTCAGTAGTTTGTACTGCATTCTATTCAGGAGTCCAGGTCTTCATTCAGTAGCCATGGAGACTGGAGAGAGATGACTTAATCTGCTGAAGAAGAAAAATCAGTCAAAATGGGTAGGCAGTTGGGTTTTTATTAAGTGACCCATTGTGAAATGCTCCATCAAGCCTGATAATGCTGACATAGATGGGTAGAGGTACTTTGTTGCACAGAAATCATCTGTTTAGGGAACATTTGCTCACAGAACAAAAATTGCTTTTCTTTAGTCAAGACTTTTCGCAGAACAAATCTTCCGAGTTCAAGAAAACTTAGAAACGGGCCACTTTTCTGACACTGTCCACGCCCGCCGAGTGCGTGGCGACGATCACCCAGTCTCAGGCGGGAGTATTCACGACTATCGACGCCCTGAAAGGTTATCATCAGTGTGAGTTGGACGCTGAGAGTCAGCTGCTGACAACTTTTATAACCCCGTTCGGGCGCTATATGTTCTTGAGAGCGCCGTACGGCATCAGTAGCATATCAGAGCATTATGACCGCCGCATGTTCGAGTGTCTTGAAGGTCTCACCGGCTTTCAGCGTGTCGTCGATGATGTGATCATATATGATCGCTCCCCAGAGCAGCACTATGACCACGTTCGTCGCTTTCTACAGCGGTGCTCTGAGAGGGGCATCTCCCTCAACAAGGAGAAGTTCGTCTACGGCCAGCGACAGATCCGCTTCGCCGGGTACGAGGTCTCCGAGGACGGCTACAAGATCGACACGAGCCTGACCAGAGCGATCGCCGAGTTCCCCACGCCTGGGAACGTCACAGATCTCCGCTCCTTCGCCGGCCTCGTCAACCAGGTAGCGTCGTTCTCGCCCCGAGTCGCTGAGCTGATGACGCTGCTCCGACCTCTGATGAGTACTTGTAACGAGTTTCTGTGGCAGCACAGTCACCAGGAGGCGTTTGAGAAGGCACGAGCAGAGTTGTCATCGCCTAACGTACTTGCCTTTTACGACTCGTCTCGACCCACGTCTCTCAGTACCGATGCCAGTCGTTTACGCGGATTTGGCTTTGTCTTGTCTCAGTTGCAAGATGATGGCACATGGCGTGTTGTACAGGCTGGATCCAGATTCTTATCTGATGCAGAGACGAGATATGCGGTCATTGAGCTTGAGTGTGCGTCTGCATTGTGGGCCATGCAAAAATGTCGACCGTTCCTTCTCGGGATTCAGTTTGAACTCGTCTTGGATCACAAGCCCCTGATCACGATTTTCAGATGGAAGCGACTTGACGAGATTGAAAACCCTCGCCTTCAGCGTCTCCGGTTCAAGGCGTCGGAGTACAACTTCACCGCCAGCTGGCGCCGGAGTGAGGAACACCAAGCTGCCGACGCGCTGTCAAGATCGCCCGTCGACCAGGCCGTGGATGGACGAACATAAGGATGGATGAGGTGAGGCGTATCGCTTCAACTGAGCAGTACGCCTCACCTGCAACGGTGAGGCGTTGCAGGTGCTCATCTCATGCTCATCAGGATGGATGAGCAAGCAGTATCAACTGCAGCAAGCAGTTGATACTGCTTGCTTGTATTTTGCAAGCAGTATCAACTGCTTGCAAAATACGTGAGGGAAGGCATGCCGAACCGCAAGCATGATTTGCCTGACTCAATCCGTGCTTTCTGGTACAAGCGTGACAGCCTGACTATTGATGACGACGTAGTCGTGTGCGATTGTCGTCTGGTGATACCCCGTGCTATGCGCCACGATGTTCTCAGTTCACCGCACTTCACGCAGCTCACCAGGGCCAGGAGAAGACCAAGGCACGTGCCCGGCTAATTGTGTATTGGCCCGGCCTGGATCGTGACATTGAAAATGTAACACGCTCGTGCCAAGCCTGTCAGAACGAATTACCGTCGCTTCCCAAGGAAACGTACCAGAGACACGCACCACCCTCACTCCCGTTCCAGATCGTGTCTGCAGACTTCGCAGAACATGGCGGGCGGAAGTTCCTCGTGGTCGTTGACCATTACTCTGGTTGGCAGCATGTCGCGGACCTGGGGAAGACGTTTGCATATTTACGTCTGGACAACGAGTTGCGGGGAAAAGTGCTGATTTTGTTGCAGTTTTAGGAGCCGGTGATTAGGCTGGATTTTTTGGTTACTTTTTCGTTCCGATTCATGTATTTCATAGTGTTTGGCTTTTGAATATTTTAGTTCTTTCAGATAAATATTACTTGCCTTACAACTTTCGTAAAAACGTTTCATTTTTTTAAGCCGACGTTCAGAGTCCTAAAAATACATCAGCACTACAATCATTGTAAACAAACAAATGGAGTGCCACTTGGCTCTGTTCCAAGGCCATTTTTTAGTTTATACTGGTTTTCTTACTCTTGTACGTCGTTTTGTTGGATGTTTTGAATATTGACTTATATCATATTTAAGAAGCATGTTGACTGAAAACAATCCGAAGTATCCAGGAGGCTGACAGAGGTCCTGACTCCTGAGCAATACCTATCAATATCAAGTTGAACAAGTTATGAAATTTTGGTTGATAAACGCAAGGTGATCGGGCTCATATATCAGCAAGAAAAAGTACAATTAAAAGAGCTTATTGGCCAAAAACAAGCTATAATATTGCAGACCTTGGAGCAATACCTACTGAAGAGCACGCTGAGCAGGATCATGCCAGAAAATGTTGACTGGTGAGCGCATATTGATGTATTGGTATGGATATTGAATGATAACTTACAACAGCAAGATAAATTAGTGCTAACTTTCAAGTTAAAAATCTAGAATGAATGGACTTGGGCAGCTTAGATGCTTCATGCTATGCAGATTGTAATGTGCACCAGGTACTCAGTGTCTGGCAAATGAAACATGCGATCATTCTATTGCTACTGGAGGAGAAAGCTTGGATCACTAAATCCACTTTTTTTGATGTTAATGAGAGAGAGAGAGAGAGAGAGAGAGAGAGAGAGAGAGAGAGAACGAGAGAGAACGAGAGAGAGCGAGAGAGAGCGAGAGAGAGCGAGAGAGCGAGAGCGAGAGAGAGAGAGAGAGAGAGAGAGAGAGAGAGAGAGAGAGAGAGAGAGAGAGAGAGAGAGAGAGAGAGAGAGAGAGAGAGAGAGAGAGAGAGAGAGAGAGAGAGAGAGAGAGAGAGAGAGAGAGAGAGAGAGAGAGAGAGAGAGAGAGAGAGAGAGAGAGAGAGAGAGAGAGAGAGAGAGAGAGAGAGAGAGAGAGAGAGAGAGAGAGAGAGAGAGAGAGAGAGAGAGAGAGAGAGAGAGAGAGAGAGAGAGAGAGAGAGAGAGAGAGAGAGAGAGAGAGAGAGAGAGAGAGAGAGAGAGAGAGAGAGAGAGAGAGAGAGAGAGAGAGAGAGAGAGAGAGAGAGAGAGAGAGAGAGAGAGAGAGAGAGAGAGAGAGAGAGAGAGAGAGAGAGAAGAGAGAGAAAGAGAGAGAAAGAGAGAGAAAGAGAGAGAGAGAGAGAGAGAGAGAGAGAGAGAGAGAGAGAGAGAGAGAGAGAGAGAACTGTATTTGACAGACTCGAGGTCCAGTACCAGTCACATCACATCAAAATTGTACCACTGTACAGGGCAGAGCACCACGCTCTCCGAATCGATGAATAACATGCCAGATCACTTTCATATAGGGAGGATACGATTCGGTTGTCCGTCTGGCTCAGGCGAGTCATGAATCCATAGACGGCCTTTCGATACATCGCCATAAAGTTATCGATTCTTTCATTCACAAACATGTCGGACGCACTACAGAAACGATGATAACCAAAGAACATTCTAGCTGCATTGTTGAAACAAACAGTAAATTTCCTTGACACAGAAGAGCGATAAGAATGCCACAGATGCACACCATGTACATTAGAACAATACGTAGAGTATAAGTACCGTTTCACATTACATGAGCACATTGCAAATTTCCTGATCAGGGAGTTTGCCCGACAACAAAGAAGACGATACTGATATTGGATTTCCAGATCATCAGTTTTCTTGGGGCTGCTGGTGATATGGAAGCCAAGATATTTGTACTGATCAACATAAGCTAGAACATTTCCACACAGCACAATATCAGGCAGGATCATATTTCGAAACAGTGGAGGCAGAATCGACATACACACTGATTTCTTGGTATTGAACACAATATCATGATTCCCTGCATAGTCAGCACAAATCTCAACCATTTTTTGCAGACCCTGTGGCGTAGGGGATAGGAGCACCATGTCATCCGCATAATATAGGTGGTTTATACTCCCCAGATAATGACATCCTACACCACTCAAGTCCAATTTTTCTGACAGCTGGTCGGTATAAGCATTAAACAGGTACGGAGAGAGTATCCCGCCTTGCCTTACGCCATTCGTCACAGAGAACTCCTCAGAGAGGGTTTTACCCCAAAGCACATGATACCTCTGTGAGTCTCGCCACCGAACGAGGAGCCTTACAACGCTATTATCCATTCCCCTACTCAACAGCTTATCAAATAGTCCAATGGTTCACGCGATCAAACGCCTTTCTAGCGTCCAGAAAACAGACAAAGACTGCACTCCTATTGCGCAAATAGTGGTCCACAATTTCTTTTAACGCATACACAGCCATATCGGTGGAGTGGCCCTCCTTAAATCCAAACTGATGATCGCTAGTGAGAAGACTTGCTTTACATCGAGTGAGTATGACCCGCTCCAGTATTTTAGAGCTCACCGTGGCCAAAGCTATTGGCCTATAGTTATCCTTATCAGTCAATTTGCCTGTCCGATCTTTCACAATAGGGCGAAGTATCACCTTCGACAAAGAAGGAGGCAAGACGCCATGTCTCACCATCATCGAGAAACATAACGATAGTTCCATGCGTAGCACATGGAACACCCGCAAACTTAAAATGTTCAGCAGATAGACTGTCACAACCTGGAGAGCGACCTGACGACAGCTCATGGATCGATTCTAAAACCTTAGGAACCGAGAACATATCAGCACCTTCACCATCATTACGAAGCTGATTCAGAACACCTTCTTTACAGTCATCGCCATCAACACTATTCAGAATATCAGCAAAGTGATCCTTCCACATGTTCGCTATATTTTTCTCTCCACTGACGCTTCCAATAGACTGGGCCAGTGGCGGATCAGCGTTAAGCTTACGAACTTCTTTCCAAAAAGTTGCTAAGTCGCGCGGGTTTTTAGCAAATTTATCAGCTAGTGATTTTGCTCGCAGCTCTTTCTCATTCTTAAGACAGAAACGAAGCGCATACTTGAATTGTGACCTAGCCATTCGCAACTGGCTGTAGATGTAGCCCATCACTGTATCATCACTGTATCATCACTGTATTTCTTGAAAAAAGGATTATAGTAGAATTGTCATTGTGACAATCCATGCAACGATGTGATCATGTAATGTGTTCATAGTCATTCGTGATAGTGATTATTGGTCCAATATACAATGGCAAATTGGATGATGATGTAAATAATAAACCAAATTATTACAAATGCATTCAAATATATTCAAAAAGAGTTTTTGAATATATTTGAATGCATTTGTAATAATTTGGTTTATTATTTACATCATCATCCAACCTGTCATGGATACTCAACATACAATGGCAAAGCTCTCAGTCTCAGCGTTTCTTCCTGTGGATGGCCAGCAGTGACTCAGAGCTTTGAAGTATTAGTTTTCTTCACAGGGCTGGGATAAAAAGTACTGAGGGTAATCTTCCACCAAGGAACTCTACTTTGACATGGTATGAGATGTATGCACAAGTAGGTAGGTGCTTAGTTCCTATAGTCAGTAGTTGTGTATGTTTAGTCGGGTTAGCTTAGATTAGATTGTTAGTTGAGTTGTAATGTGACGATTATTTCATAAATATGCAAGATATTACAACAAAAATTACCCGACGTTTCGTTGATTATAACTTTTTCAAGGGTAATGAAAAGACACACATTTATCTACGAGAACATGGGATGTGTAACAGCGCGGGCAATTCTTCGTAGTAACACTTCCTGTCTGCAAACAGGTCACAAAGAAACAATTCACAAATCATAATCTCTCCTGACTAAAGATGTGGCCACATAAGCAAGCCTAAAAAATCCATTTGAAATATTCAAAGTTTGACCAGTAGCGATAAATGCCGCCTCTACAACTTTTCGCTGAACTTTGGAAAAATTCCTGTCGACACTTGTAGCCCCTGTCCAGTTAGGCAGATGCCCTTCTTCCTCTGCGTGAACAACAAAGGCGTTCGAAACTCTATGATTGCGCATGTCTCCCTTGTGCTCGCGAACCCTCGTTTTTAGACCCCTTCCCGTTTCCCCGTAGTACACGCGTGGGCATCCACCGCAAGGAAATTTATATACCACGCTATCTCTGTTTGACTCTCTTTTGTTTCGCTTGAAAATTCCGCCTATTTTCTGTCCTCCTTTTGCGACAATGGATAGGGCCGGGCCCACCAGCTTTTGTACCTGTTCAGTAAGAGGTGAATAAGGGGCTATCACCGACAGTGTATTCTGCGCGTGCCTTTCAGATACGTCAGCTACCCTAGTGTTAGATTGAGACCAAATCCGTTTAGCTTTGTCCCTGAGGGATATGAGTTTGGCCAAAGGGTATCTCAGCTGTAAGAATGTATTGGTTATGTAATCAATTTCTTCCTGTAGCAGGTCTTGTGAGCAAATTCGAAGGGCGCGCAAGAAGAATCCGATAACGACCCCGGACTTTACCTTCTGACTGTGTCCCGAGAAATAATGTATGAGGTCATTCCTATTAGTGGGCTTACGGTAGACCGTGAATTTAAGTGAGTCGCCCGTCCGTAACAATAGAGTGTCTAAGAATGGTAACCGGCCGTTCTCCTCCTCCTCGACAGTGAACTGAATCGCAGGATCCACTAAGTTCAGTTCCCGAAGTAAGTCCGTAAGGTTAGTGTCTATGGGGACACAGGAAAGTACGTCATCGACATACCTCACCCACAGGTTATGTTCTCCTAAGATACTCTTGTAATGGTCCTCCTCCATTGTTTCCATGTAGAGACACGCTAAGACGGCACTAAGAGGGGAACCCATCGCTAGTCCGCTAACTTGTCTAAATTCTTTGTCGTCAAAAATAACCCGCGCCCTGGTGGGGTCTGTTTATAACGCGACCTGGTGGGGGGGGGGGGCTATTTTTTGCACCCCCTCGTATCTCCGAAACTACTGGACGGATCCGCAAAATTCAAACGGCGTTCGAAAGGCCTGTCAAATTTGTCGAGGGAAACCAAATTTCATTGACCTCGGGGTCACCGATGACGTCACAGGTCAGGTCAAAGATGAAATGTTTCACCGTTCACGGGTCTTCTTGGGAATGCGCTATAACACCGAGGAAAACGCATTTTGTCGAGAATCAGCGGTAGGGCGTCAGTTGCCTAGTAGATATGTTGCTATTAGAGGTCACTGGCAATACCAGGTCAGGTCACAGGTCAGGTCACCAAGGGTCACAGGTCAGGTCACATGAGCCCAACTTTACTAAGGTTGTGTGATACATGTTTTATGGCCAATTTTTCATTTCCAACTCAATGGTGTTGGTTATAAGACTATCAGGTACGGCTTAGGTCACTTTCTGGTGAAGTTCAGGTCAAGGTCAGGTTAAGGTCAGGCCAAAAAAGGTCAAATTTTAAAGTTGATAGTTTTGCATAAAATGGGTATTGATTCGATGCAGCTCGTCACGGGGAGTCTAATGGTGGTCTTTGTTTTGCGCTACGGGGTCTAGAATTGCTAAACATCGAGTTTGAAAATTTGACGTCATCAATTTTGAACAGTTTTTTCGCTATAACTTCGCCAAAAAAAGAGGTATCAAGCTCAAATTTGGTATGTGGATGGAAGGCGGTAAGGACTATCACATATATTCCGGTTTTTGCGAAATTCAAAAAACTTTTTGGATTTTTCGATTATTATATCCAAAAAATCTATTTTTTTATTTTTAGGGGTCAAAATCCAAAAATTTCAAAAATCCGAGATAGCAGTTTTGTAGCCCTGTCCAATCTCCAGCTTTTATGTTTTTATCATTTTTCTGTATTTGCAAAGCTATAGGCCTGACAGCTCTTCCCGCGAAACCCTTTTTTGGGTCGAAAACGGCAGAACATGACGTCACTCTGACGTCATTTCCGGCCAACCTATCACAGCCTTTGGCAAAATTTTTGGTCACAATGTGTAAAATTGATGTCCGGGAGGGTACTGAAAGTTTGGTGACGATCGGCGCAGCGGTTCTGGAGATATATCGAAAAGTCTGGAGGGGGGGGGGCAAAAAATAGCCCCCCCACCAGGTCGCGGGATAAAGGAGTTGAAGTTTACACAGAGTCGAACCAGAGTCAGGAAGTCCCTTTTTGGGATCGGAAGATCATCATCACTTGCATTGGACAGCACTCTCTCAACGGCAGCTAAGGCTCCGTCCACAGGGACATTGGTAAATAGAGCTTTTACATCAAAACTCACCAACTTTTTATCTGCAATGCATAAATCCTTGATACGACTGAGGAGATCGCCTGAATTCTTAACCCGCGCCGTGCTGGGGGGGCGTTTTTACGCCCCCCCCCCTCAGGTTTTTCGCGAATATCTCAAAAACGGCGGCGCGCAGCGCCGCCGTTTTTGGTACACGTGTTCCTACATCATTTCCGCACATGTTGTGAAAATTTCAGACCTAGGCCGTTCAAGGTCAGGTCACCAGGTCACGTCAAGTGACCTTACCTCAGAAAAAGTTCAAAGGCTCGCTATAGCTACACCGACTGAACGATCACTTTGAAACTTTCAGCGATTGATATGAGTAACAGTATGTATAAAATGTATATCTCGGATTTTTGATATCTGTGACCTAAGGTCAGGTCAATTTTGCGACCTCTCCATTATAAGTCAATGGGAGAAAATTGAAATGCGCCTCTTTTGGACGAATATCGTTCAAAACGCTCTCAAACATCGGTTCATAGGTAAACATGACACACTGAATAGGAAAAATGCACCTGTGACCCCTCTGTGTGCCCCTGAGGTCATCTCAGGTCATGAACGGTCGCCAGCAGTTTTTTGGCTATAACTTTTGATAGAGACGTGCTAGAGCGGTGAAAACACGTCAGATGTGTTCAGCTCGACGATACGGATCGACTGATATGCAACATGACCCTTTTCGGTCAGGTCATGACCTTGACCTGAGGTCAAATTTTCAAAATGACCTTTCAAGGTCAACAAATAATTCATTCGACGCGTCTCGACGAGAGGAACACGATGCTGGCAAAAGTAATGTCATGGCGCTTATGAGTCAAAAGTTATTGACGAAAAAACGTTTTTCGTAAAAACGGCTATTTTTGGAGTTTTTGCCCTCTGGAGGCTAAACCGTTGACCTGAGGTCAAATCTGAGAACATTACTCAGAAAGGTCTGTAAAAGGGCTATCGAATGCGCTTTTCCGCGGCGCTGTAGCTCTATCGGTTCCCGAGATAGCCGTTGGCAGTTTCCAAAATGTTGAAATAGTCAACATTTTACCTTTGGTGACCTCTGGTGACCTGACCTTTGACCTGACCCAAAAAATGACCGAAGTGTTTTCGTCCTTATTTTTGACGCTCTTTCGATTGCCGCTTACCGCGTGTCGCTACGTGGCCCAGGAGCCGAGTTAGACGGGGGGGCGTGAAAACGCCCCCCCCCCCCCAGCACTCGGCGGAAAGTTCAGGCCACCAGCACGGCGCGGGTTAAGGTGAGCTGAGCTGATGGTGCCTAGAAGGCTAGATAGAGGTTTAGCCAAGATCTTAGCGAGCCTGTGTGGAGCGCTGCCAACACCGGACGTAATCGGCCGCATAGGTGTGCCCTGCCTAACTGGACATAGAAGGGCATCTGCCTAACTGGACAGGGGCTACAAGTGTCGACAGGAATTTTTCCAAAGTTCAGCGAAAAGTTGTGGAGGCGGCATTTATCGCTACTGGTCAAACTTTGAATATTTCAAATGGATTTTTTAGGCTTGCTTCTGTGGCCGCATCTTTAGTCAGGAGAGATTATGATTTGTGAATTGTTTCTTTGTGACCTGTTTGCAGACAGGAAGTGTTACTACGAAGAATTGCCCGCGCTGTTACACATCCCATGTTCTCGTAGATAAATGTGTGTCTTTTCATTACCCTTGAAAAAGTTATAATAAACGAAACGTCGGGTAATTTTTGTTGTAATATCTTGCATATTTATAGATTGTTAGTTTTTTAATTTGCCAAGTGTCCATAAAAATGTGAGCTGAGCAATGAGCATACTCCTGACTAGCCTGACAGCTGACCTAGCCTCAATCATCACACATATTTGCAGCCTACCGAAGACCTGCATAGCAGTAGCACCCAGTTATAGGTAGGTACTCACCCTAACTCAATCTTACCTGCTAACCTTCAACTTGCCAAAAGTTAGCTCACATTGCCAAGCTGCATCCAGGGAAACAGTCAACTGAGGAACTGGCTCATTGGGTGGCTGGTGTGAGTCTGTGCATTTAAAGTGTTTCTTCTCTGAAGCTGCTCTGCACTGCTGTATGTCATGTTAGATGCTCAGAAATGTGGGAAATGATTACTTAGCTACTTTAGTGCTTTGTTAATGCTCGAGACATGAACAAGTACAGATCCTGCAGGGTACAGCTATGAGTTAGGTGCTAGGTGAGTATGTTATGTGAATGTGCTGTTCCCTGTTTGACCATAGTAAGTATACAAACAAGCACAGGGTCACAGTTAGTGGTGTCAATCGGAACTTGAATCTTCGGAATTCCGATTTTGTCCAATGTCCAATTCGGAATTCGGTTGGACAATGGCAGCAGGCTTTGGACAACTTTGGACAATCGCTTGCTACACCTCAACATTTTTAAAAAGTATTCGTGTTTAACATTGATTGGCTATTAGGAAGCTCAGCTTTTCATATGATTAACACCTTTGAGCTGGTAGCGGTACATGAAAAGCAAATTAAATAACAGTGTTGAGTGTAAACTACTGCGTAGGTGTCGGACATCTTTGGACAAATGGTTCGCTGGACATTTTTGGACGGACAGTCGACGTAAGCATTGGACATTGGACGGACTTTGGACATAGGTTTTCTGAAATTGACACCACTAGTCACAGTTATATTCAATCTCCACATAAACATACAACAAAAACGGCCATATGGCCTAACTCCGAACACACCACAGATAACTTAAGCCTTTGCAGGCACAAAAATGTTTTGATTAACAGGACAGGTATACAATATATCCTCTGTCCTAGGGGGATCTTGCTGCCAAGTTGAGGTACGATGACTTAACTTCAGGATTGATCAACCTTTTCTTAGCCACTGCTTATATACGAGAAAGACCAAATGCTTGTTTCTTTGATTTACAGGACATGTATACAATATATCCTCTGTCCTTGGGGGATCTTGCTGCCAAGTTGAGGTACGATGACTGAACTTCAGGATTGATCAACCTTTTCTTAGCCACTGCTTATATACGAGGAAGACCAAATGCTTGTTTGTAAACTGCGTTGAAAATTTAATGATCACCATCAATTCTGACATGAAGGCACAATTTTTTTCTATAAATTTAGTCCGAACCTTTTGATGGGAAGGAATCACAAGGACAGAGCCACCGCTAAGCGAAGCTTGTTGCGATGACCCTGCCCTCTACCCTCCGATCGCGCAATTCCGATTCTATGGCAGAATTTAGAGTCCAAAGTTTAACGTGCGCACAAAGCCGCGCACGGCCGGTCCCCTCGCTGACTTCGCCTGGCTACGGCCTGCCACCAACCGCAACCATACCTGTCAGGAGGCCCATAAATGTCGAGCGCCCGTCGCGCTTCGAACCCGGACTGTCACAACCGGGAACGCGTGCTCTCACCACGCGGAGTCCAACGCTCTAACCAACTGAGCTACGGGACCGGCATATGAAATAGTTCCCTCTCCTTTTGGAATACACAAAGCAAAATATTTAATAAATTTTAGTGGATGGACAAGAGCAATTAGCATAGCTTCCCCTCAAGTTAACTTCTGGCACTAATGAATAACACTGACGCTTATTCGCTTCATATTTTGTAACAAACGCGCTAAAACTGCAATATAACAGCACTAAATGCTTCTTGACAAAATGCAATACAAGTAAAAATTTAGCCCTGATGGCATTCATTCTTGGTGGAAACGTAATTACAAAATATTTTGTAGTAACACTAACTATTAAATTCCGGCTGAAAGCAGTCCACGGTTTAAAAAAGAATCATTCCAATGACGGTCCATTCTTGCGGTCCTGAAATCGCCACTATTTCCGGCCTCTCCAACGCAACTCGTTGTCCAGACGTAAATATGCAAGACGTTTACGGCAAAGCAGACCATTCGATCTGTTCAAACAATGTTCTGCTTCACAGGCGTACCTGACATCTGGTACTCCGACAACGGCCCGCAATTCGCATCGCGAGTCTTCCGCGAGTTCCTGCGCGACTGGGGAGTCGAGCATCGGACCTCCTCCCCCGGCTACCCCCAGTCCAACGGGATCGCCGAAGCTGCCGTTAAAACCACCAAGCGGCTCATCCGGCGGTGCTGGGATCAGCGCTCCGCGTCCATCGACCCGGACAAGTGGACCCGCGCGATCCTTCAGTACCGCAACACGCCTACTGCTGGAGGACGATCGCCAGCTCAAGTCCTCTTCGGACGCCCTGTACAAGATGCCCTTCCCGCGCACAGACGAGCGTTCGCGGCTGAGTGGCAGCGCGCCGCCGAGATCACCGAGACGGCCGCCGCCAAGCGACAGGAGAAGGTGGAGGGGAGGTACAACGCTTACGCGAAGGATCTGCCCAACCTCAGGGCTGTCTCATCCCTATCTCCGTAACGTGTCGTGTGCGACCAATGACGTCACGGCATTGCGGCGTTCTGATTGGGCGGCAGCTCTGAATTGCCCGACTGGTGGTCCCCGCTCGACAAGCGCACGTGCGCCGACTAGACATTTGTAGTGGCATTGACGGCAGAAAAAGTGAGGTAATGCAGAGCTCTGAATATACTTGAATAGAGTCTAAGCCGTTAGTAATACGTAAAAATGTCAGATAGGTTTCTTGTTCGTCTTGATTCGAGGTTTTATGTGATATAATTTTTACCTTAGTGTCGAGTCTGTCAGCTATGTGGGAGAGCCCTAAAGTTGGGTCATTTCCATAGGATTGCATTACAGCCGTCCGACCCTTCGTACCTGTGACGTCACGGAAATCGCTGCTTCGGCCTAATGAGCATACCTTCTATATAGGGCCTTGGCCCAACCTCAGCGTGGGAAACCAGGTGGCTGTGCAGAACCAGGTGGACAGGAGGTGGACGGCCTACGGCGTCATCGTTCGTGTCTGCCCGAACCGCAAGTACCTGATCCGTCTTCTCAGCAGAAGAGTCGTTTGTCGGAACCGACGACACATCCGCAGGCGCTACCCGCACGTCACGCCGTCCGACTTCCCGAAGGCGGACTCAGGATCCGAGACCACTGTGCCGTCGCGCTCCGGCACGCCCGTACCGGTGTCCGGACAAATTGCCGAAAGGCGATTTACCGAATGTCATTTTGCCGAATGCATTTCGTCGAATGTCATTTTGCCGATGTGCTTTTTGCCGACGTGTCAAAAAGTCGAAATTATAGTGTCCTGGGTGTGTAATTCCGTCGAACGGTCCGGGCCACGACACGCCACGATTTGTCCAAGATGGAGACTGTTTATTTCGATAGTGGCGGACAGCAAACGACACAATAGAGAAACGAGTACTCGGTACTCAGTACGACGGTACCCATAGGCTACGGTCACTACATCCGCCACCTCAATAAAGTTGAACATAATTGACACCGGATGATACACCAAATAGACACGACACAGCTTATAGTCGAAGCTGTTAAACTAATACAGAAACGCGGTTAGAGCCAATAACTGAAACGAAACAATCAGACACTGTGGTTCTGAAAATACAATCAGCGCAGCCTCACAGGCACGAACCGACGGCGACCGAACGACGATCTCGGCAGCTCGTGTTCAGCCAGATCAGAGTCAGGCACGGCACGGTCCGCGCTACCAGCGTCGGCGGTGGCTGGCTGTGATCGCGAGGGCGTTGTTCGTCCTGTAGATGGCGGTGCTGTCTCCGGCGGTGGCGCTGGCGGCTGGTCCCGCAGTAGAGTCGGTGACCGCTGAGTCGGCGGCTGAGACAGCAGCGGAGTGACGGGTCCGGCTGTGCCTGACGGCGGTGTGGCAGGTCCGGTTCCATCCTGGCTGCCACTAGGCACGCTAGCCAGGTGAGCCGCGTTCCTTCTGGTGCCGTCAGCCAGCAGGTAGGTTGCTGGGCCGAGCTGCTGGGTGACTGGGACTGGAGCCGAGAATCGACTTTGATCCTTCGGGACGTGTCCTGGCTTCTTCACACGGACCAGGTCCCCCGGCCGCAGACCAGGCCGCTTCACACCTTTACGTGCGGCGTAGTTCCGTTTGTTTCGGCGCTGTTGTTTGGCGACACGGTCGGAAATCCTCTTGTCATGTGCTGCTTCCTCTACGACTGGTAGATTCAGACGCATCCGGCGTCCATGCAGCAGTACTGACGGCGCCTCACCGGTGCTACAGTGGGGGGTCGTCCGATACAGCGCGAGTCGCTGTGTGACGTGGTTGGAGAAGGAGTCTGCTGTCCTGAGCCTCAACTGGGCGGCTTCCTGCAGCCAGCTCTTGACTTCTCGATTTAGCCGCTCGACTGCAGCGTTGCCACGCGGCCAGTAGAGTGATGACCGGTGGTGCGTGATGCCGCGACGCTGCAGGTACGTGCGGAACTTCTCACTTGAGAACTGTGGACCGTTGTCACTGATGATTTCATCGCAGAAACCTTCTCGAGCCCAGAGAGCGCTGAGCATCCTGATGATGTCATCAGTTTCGACTGTGGATGTCAGAGCTATCTCTGGCCACTTGCTGTAGTAATCGGTAACGACGATCGCGAACCGTGCGGCAGGAGGCGCTGCGGAGATGGGTCCCACGATGTCAATACCGAGCTTGGACCATGGTCGGTCAGGCAGCTGGACGGGCTGTAGTGGTGCTGGTCGCGCCTGCTGGGCGAGCACCGAGTCCTTTGAACAGCACACGTGGCAGTTCTTCACGAGAGCGGCAGCAGCAGTCGCCATGCCGGGCCACCACGCCAGGTCTCTCAGGAGTTGTTTCGACCGGACAACGCCTTGGTGACCGGCGTGTGCCAGCTCCAGGTACCTGCTGCGCAGCGTCTCGGGGACGACGACCCGTTCAGGTCCGCGCATGACGATGCCATCTTCTCTGCACTGGAGTTCGTGGCGCACGGCGAAGTAATCGCGAAGGTCCGGCGCGCACTTGCGAGCCATGTCGGGCCAGCCGAAGCAGATTGTAGAACGCAGCTTCTCCATCACCGGGTCGGCGGCTGAGGCGGCTCGGATGTCCTCCTCCGTGAGGACGTCGGCAGCGGCATCAGTGACGAGTGCGACGACATCGTCACTGTCAGTCTCAGCGGCAGTGGTGTCTGGGAGCGGTAGTCGCGAGAGAGTGTCCGCGACCGGGATACTGTGGCCAGGCTTGTACTGGACGGTATAAGAGTACGACATCAGTCGTGACTGCCATCTGGCGATCCGAGCTCCTGCGCGGTTGGCTGACTGAGGCGACAGCAGCGTTGTCAGCGCGGAGTGGTCGGTTCGTAGGGTGAAGTGGCGGCCCCAGAGGTAGATCCGCCAGTGCTCGATGGCATTCACAGCACTCAGCGCTTCTTTCTCGGAGACTGAGTACTTCGCTTCAGCATCTGTGAAGGAACGTGACCAGTAGGCCACTGGGCGCTCCTGTCCGTCCGCCTGGATCTGAGTCAGGACAGCGCCTGCACCACGGTCACTGGCGTCCGTGGTGACGATGGTGTCCAGTGCCGGCGAGAACGGCATCATCACCGGACTGGAGGAGATCAGGCTCTTGACGCTGTTGAAGGCGTGTTCCGCGGCTGGGCCCCACTCGAAGGGGACGTCCTTCTTCAACATCACAGTCAGCGGCTGGACCACCGTGGAGTAGGCGGGGATGAACCTGCTAAACCAGGCGGTGGTGCCGATGAAGCTCCGTAGCTCCTTGAGGTCGGTGGGGTGTGGTGCATCCACCACAGCCCTGATTGCTGACTGCAGAGGTGCGACTCCGTGCTTCGTCAGGCGGTGACCACAGAAGTCGACCTCAGGCTGGGAGAAGACGGACTTCTGCATGTTCACTGTGATGCGAGCTGCGCGAAGCCGGGCCAGGACGGCATGCAGGCGGGCGTCGTGCTCGGACTGAGTGCGCCCGGACACCAAGATGTCGTCGAGGTAGTGACCACATCCTGCGATCCCGTCCAGGACTTGGTCCAGGAGCTTCTGGAACGCAGAGCCAGAACTGACGAGACCCATGGGAACTCGTTTCCAGCGGAAGAGGCCGTCCATGGTGAGGAATGCAGTGATGTCTCGGGAATCTTCATGCAGGCAGAGTTGGAAGTACGCGGACTTCAGGTCTATCCTGCTGTAGACGGTGCCTCGTAGGTTCCGCTCCAGGTCATCTATGGTGGGAAGTGGATGTACCTCTGCGATGATCTGAGAGTTCGGCCATCGAAGATCAGTGCAGATGCGAAGTTTGCCATCCTTCTTGCGAGTGACAGCCAGTGGGCTGACCCACTGAGACGCGTCTGCTCGTTCGATGACGTCAGCTCGGAGAAGTCGATTGAGTTCGGCTGACACCTCCTCCCGGACTGAGAGAGGCAGACGACGAAGCTTGAACGCTTTAGGCACAGCGTCAGGCTTCAGCTGGATCCTGTGAGCGTATCCGTCGATAGCTGGGAGATGAAGTTGCTCCTCTGACGCAGAGGTCTGCTCATCCAGATCGAAGATGGTGTGCGAAGCTGGGTGCAGAGTTAATCCCAGGGCACTCAGCACATCCATACCCATGATGGCCTCCAGGCGGGGCGTGTCCACCAGGTAGAATGATGCGTTGACCTTGCGCTCGTTGTAGCTGATGATGGCAGGGAGGGTGCCATGAACTTGAATGGGGTTGTGGCCGAAACCGTACAGGTTAGCAGAAGTAGGCTCGTAGCTGACACCCTTGAACAGCTGCTTGGCACGCTGCAGGCTTAGAAGCGAACAGGTGGCACCTGTATCCACTTGAAGATGCACACCCTCACGTGTGATGTCACCGGCTGTGATGGTCACTGGACACGACAGCTTTGTTGACTTGCCCTGTTCACAAGCCAGAACGTGCAGTTCTCTGACAGCTTGTGGTCTGGAACGGCTGGACCCAGATCTGCCGCCACGAGGACCTGGTTTCTTGGGCTTTGAACCTCCACCCCTGGGTTCTGGGTTGTCGCGACTGCGACACCAGGCAGCGAAGTGTCCCTGGCGGTTGCAGATGTGGCAGACGATGTGCCTGGCTGGGCAGCTGGGATCACGGACAGGGTGATCGTGACGTCCACAGTTGGTGCACGGGGTGCTGACGGTCTGGGCAGGTTGCTGATGCCCTTTACGTGTCTCCACCTTTGCGACAGCGGGAACAGGTGGAGCGGCGACGACACCATGCTGAATAGTAGCGGCCTGCTGCAGAGCCTGCTCATGAGCCTCTGCCATGCCGAGCAGCTTCGGCAGTGTTAGGTCATGCTCCTGCAGAAGGCGTTGACGCAGAGCATTGTGAGGGGTCTTCTCCACAATTTGGTCCCTGATCAGCTCGTCCTCCATCGCTCCGAAGTTGCACTTCTTGGCAAGTCCATGCAGAACTGCAGCGTAGTCTGCCGTAGACTCATGTGACTGTTGGCCTCTCTGCCGAAACTGGAACCGTTCTACGATGACGTTGGTCTTGGGTTCGTAGTGGTTGCGTAGTTGGCGAATGGTGACGTCATAGTCGTCCTCGTTCTCGTCCTTCACCAGCGTCGGCAAGTTTTCATAAACGCGATATGCCTCATCTCCGATTGCACAGAGTAGCAGTGCACGTCTCTGAGCCGCTGGTAGAGGGGTGTCGCCACTGCGAGCAATTAAGTAGTTCCCGAACCGCCGCTCCCACGTCGCCCACGGCGTTTGCGGCGCACCAGGGTGCGGCAGGAACGGCGCGGGGAGTGGCACTCCGCCGTCGAAGGCGCTCATTGCGTCGCCGAATGCAAGAAAACTGACGAAAATATAACACACGCGCTCGACATTACGTGAAAAGTTCGAAAAATATCCACTCGTCGTCACAATATAGTGTCCTGGGTGTGTAATTCCGTCGAACGGTCCGGGCCACGACACGCCACGATTTGTCCAAGATGGAGACTGTTTATTTCGATAGTGGCGGACAGCAAACGACACAATAGAGAAACGAGTACTCGGTACTCAGTACGACGGTACCCATAGGCTACGGTCACTACAGAAATGCTAAAAGTCGAAATGCCATTTGCCGACATGCCTTTTTGCCGAAATGCCAATTTGCCGAAATACCTATTAGTCGAAATGTAAATTTGCCGAAATGCGATTTGCCGAAATGTCGATTAGTCGAAATGTAAATTAGTCGAAATGTAAATTTGCCGAAATGTCAATTTGCCGAAATGTCAATTTGCCGAAATGTCAATTTGCCGAAATGTCAATTTGCCGAAATGTCAATCTGCCGCAATGTCAATTTGCCGAATTGGCAGTTTGCCGAAATGTCAATTAGTTGAAATATAACTTTGCCGAAATGTCAATCTGCAAACCTTGGTTAGGTTAGGTTAGTTTAGGTGGTGTTTATTTACTTAGGACCGATCACCAATTTACTTTTGGTGCAATCCCCAAGTAAGAAGCAAATCACATGATATCCGTTGACCTCCTGATTTCATAACTAATCATTATTCATGGAAGCACCAATACCATGTGGAAATAAACATAAAATTGCTCG